GCTTCTTTTCTGGGTTCGTGAAAGCATCAAATCTGCAGAGAATACTTTTAACTTTTTTTTGTTATGAAACGAGGATTCTCCGAATCTCCTTCAAGCTCTGCTCCTCCTCATCCTTCTTCCAGATTCAAACCAAATCCCCAAGGTTTTCGTTACTCTCTCTCTCTCTCTGTTATATATAAATAATCTGGGTTCTTCGTTATCTGTTGATTCGATTTTCATTCTACAAAGGGTTTTCTTAGATTTCATTCTTTGCCCCTGAATGTTCTTTTGTTTGCCCTTATGAAAAAGTTTCGTTTTTTTTTTGTAGTTTCTATCAATCTCTCATCCCTCAATTCCCTTTAATAGAGTGTTTGGGGATTATGTTTTGCTTTGTTGTTCAAGTTTAAATTGTATTCTTATCATTTTATTGCTCAAAGATTGTTTATTTAAGCAATAGTTTATACAACAGGTGATTCTCAGTTTCTGGAAGATGAGACCACAAAGAATTTTGCCAGGAAGGTTGCTGATCATTACAGTCGGAGAACAAACCAAACTTTGGAAGAGCGAGAAGCTAGTCCAATCATTCATTTGAAGAAACTTAACAACTGGGTGGGTTTTGTTTATTCATAACATCATCTTCTTCTCTCCAGGGAGATTCTTCTATTATCATATTGACTTGGTTCTTCTTTTTCACTTGCTTACAAACAGATTAAAAGTGTGTTGATCCAGCTTTACACTCGTCCTGACGATTCTGTTCTGGACCTTGCCTGTGGGAAGGTTCTTGTCGTTTAAACAATCTTATTGTTAATGTCAATTGTTTTATGTCTCAAAAACTGTTTACATTGTGTTGCTTTTTCATCTTCCAGGGTGGTGATTTGATTAAGTGGGATAAGGCCCAGATCGGGTATTATGTTGGAATCGATATAGCTGAAGGGTCGGTAAGTTGACTGGATGGATAATACCTGGAAATGCTTTTCTTTTTTTTTGTTGTTGCATTTTTCTGGAATTCTGTATCTGAAAATGTAACTATGTTTTTCCTTTTCTTTTGACAGATTGAAGATTGTCGCACGCGTTATAATGGTGACGCAGACCATCATCAACGTCGTAGAAAGTTCACTTTTCCGTCCCGGTTATTATGTGGGGATTGTTTTGAGGTATAATGAGAAAAGCTCCTCGAGTAGTTTAGGAATCTCGTTTAAGACAAAAAAAAATTACATGATATTATCAGATGCAACAACTAACTCAAGATATCTTTTGTTCGACAATTTGTAAAAATCTTAGTAGTGGAATTGCATTTCAATGATTTCAGGTAGAGCTAGACAAGGTTCTTGAAGAGGATGCCCCTTTTGATATCTGCAGTTGCCAGGTTTCCTATGTTTAAATCACCTATTCATTTCTAAATCACTTGTTTCGGCTCAAGATTGGAAATCAATTTCGTTTAACATATATGGTTATTATACTGGTCAGGGGAGTCTACTTTGGCTTTGTAACTAGGTTTTTCCAGTATAGTTATTCCCTTGAAGTTTTATGCCAGTAGCATTTGGTGAAATAAGGTTAATGGTGCATTTTAAGATTCTGAAATTTACCAAGTCATAGTTTTATTGTAGTTTGCTATGCATTACTCATGGACTACTGAGGCACGTGCACGACGAGCTTTAGCGAATGTCTCAGCTTTGCTTCGTCCTGGAGGCGTTTTTATCGGAACAATGCCAGATGCAAATGTTATTATAAAGAAACTTCGGGAAGGTTCTTTTTTTTTGCCTTCTTTGCTTATAATTTGATCTGTGATCTCATAAAGATTGAGTTGTGCTTAACAGCTCTAAACTGAATCATCAGTGTGTTATTTCAACGTATTCTACTTAAGAAACGTAAAGTTCTTCTTATACATTCCATGAGAATTCTTTTTTAGTTTGGGTTTTGGTAAACTAATCTAGGTTCTTTGTTGTATACTGAACATGCAGCTGAAGGTTTGGAGATTGGCAATAGTGTATACTCGATTCGTTTTGGTGAAGAGTATTCCCAAAAGGTGATACTTCATTTGTTACTTGAGTCTCAAAGTACTTAAAGCTTTTCTCTTAATTGTCGTTTAGTGGAAAGTAAAGCTCTCTTTCCCGATGCTTATGATGTATATGGTTGTATGGTTCAGAAGTTCAAATCTAGCAGCCCCTTTGGTATCGAATACGTGTTTCATCTTGAGGTACTACAATTTTCTTGATTTATTCACTTAGTAGTCTACCGCAGAAACTTAAGTATTTTAAATTAAAGAAGCTTTAGAGGTGTAAGAAATTGTCCGAACACGAGCAAATTTAGTGAAGATTATCAATAAACTTCCCCCTATTATTTTTGCTGTTGTAAAGTAATGGGAAATTTTATGGTAGGATGCTGTTGATTGTCCTGAATGGATTGTGCCCTTTAACATCTTCAAGTCTTTAGCTGAAGAGGTAATAATTTTCCTCCTCTCGATGTTCATACGCTTAGGCAAAAAAACTGGGTTTTGTTCATGTATTAGAGTGGCATTGTCCCTTGAACTTTTGTGCAGTATGATTTAGAGTTGGTATTTGTGAAGAACTCACACGAGTTTGTCCATGAGTATATGAAAAAGCCAGAGTTTGTAGAACTCATGAAAAGGCTTGGTGCTTTGGGTGATGGTAACCACGATCAAAGTAAGTACTTGTTCGATTCTCGCTTCATATCATCCATTTGATTCTAACCACAACGTGATAGAACATAACTAAATTTTGTTTTCAGGCACATTATCAGCTGATGAATGGGAAGTTGCATATCTATACCTCTCTTTTGTCCTGAGGAAGGTTTGTCTTCTTTTACACATCTCTCGGTATTTACTCTTTTATCGCTTGACCGGTAATGTTCTTAAAACGGATGGTTTTTATAGAGAGGAGAATCGGATGGGGCTCAAAGGAAAGGGCGGAGGAAGAACGGGAAAATGAACTTGTCGAAAGATGATATTTTGTATATCGATAACTGAAGTGTAATACAGACACACCAGAGTGCCTCTTGTCTGTTTTGTTCTCTTATGTTGTCGGCTTTACTTAAGAAATTCTGATCCCTTCACAAAGAAAGAAGATGAGAAGAAACCCAATAATAAGATAGTCATTGAACACTTGAGTTTTCAAGTCTTCTTTAACAGAATCTAC